TAATAAATGAATTTTGGTGGCTCCCCCCAGATGCTGGCCAGCTGGCCTGCAGGGGGAAGCCCCGCCCCCAACAATCATCCATGGCTCTGCTTGAAAAAAGCAGGCACCGTGCGTGCCTTCCCTGCAAGCGGCAAATTCACAGCTTACAAAGCAGGCACCTGCAGTGCTTGCTTTTCCCCCCAGCCATTTAAAGGGAAGGTCACTCTGCATGATGTCATCGTGTTGGGGATGCCCCCCCGAACACCCCCCAAATCCCCCTACCGAGAAGAAGATGGGACCTGGCAACCCTAGTGGGATCCCTAACTGGCTGCAATCACATGATGAAGAAGCCATTTCAAGTTTTGTTTGAAGTGCCAAAGCAGCTGCAAATAGTGAAAAGCATATTTGTCTTCATGGGCCCCCCATGCATTTAGATCCTACATTTTTTTTTAATCGATGCAGCTGCATCACTAGTATTCATTCGTAGTTAAGAAATGGCCGGTGTAGCACCTTACTGGTTTCCTCTAGGAGAAGATAATAATAGTGTAATTAATTGTGCCCCAGGGGGGAACTGGAAGGAGTGGGGAGGCAATTAAGAGAGGGGATTTGGGAGGAAATCAGTGTGGAAGGCAAATGGGGCTCTTAGAAGTGGGAATAGACCTAGTATCTAAAATTTCCTTTTGGGTTATTCCTTTGAATAAAAAAGGATCCATGGGATGTTCATAAATTACACTTTGTTCACAAAACAGACTCTGCTGGATGTTTATTTGCCCTTCCGTTTTCTCATGAATAAAATATATTAAACTATTAACCCTCTGATCTGCGTTGTATTGGATTCTCATTGCCAGAGCCAGTTCAGTTCCTTTAACTGGAGTGTTCCACTGAAAAAGGAGCATGTGTCGTTAAGCAGTGGCTTTTAAAAACAAGTACACAGGCATTCCTTTTGTTGTTGTTGTTGCTGCTATATTCTGTATTGCCTTTATTTACCCCTCCCTGGCTTTGTCTGGGTCCAGCTAAGGGCGTGAGATTGTCTCTCTGTGGGTAACGCGGTTCTTTATTCCTGAATAATGCTTCATCAGGTAGGATTAAGTTGAATGAAGAGATCAGGGTTTCCAAACTCCAGATGGGACCTGTATATCCCCTGGAATAACAACTGATGTCCAGATTACAGAAATCAGTTCCTCGGGAGAAAATGACTGCTTTGGAGGGTGAGCTGTGTATGTCCTTATGCCCTGCTGAGGTCCCTCCTCTCTCTAGCTCCCCCCCCACCCCGTATCCACTCCCAGATCTCCAAGAATTTCTCATCCTGGAGTTGGCAACCCTGTCTCAAGTGCACTAGTTGTGATAAATCAGCGTTGCTAATAAACAGGCCATGTCAGTTGCTTCTGGCGCATCATGTTTGAATAACATTGAGAAAGTAAGAGCATTGCGATGTAAGCTTCTTCAGTGGGTAATGGAAAAATTATGGTTTTGTTCCTTTGATTCATACACAGTGTTATAATACAGACTAATTAAAGGTACAACTTAACCCCTTTTATCCAAAACCAAGACTGTCTCAAAATTACACAGGACTCTAGTAGTACGTTAAAGACTAGCAGATTTTATTCTGGTATAAGCCTTCGTCAGTCAAAGCTGCATCAAGTTATATAACCATTGGGCCAAAGTTTTATAGACTGTGGGTGGGTGGGGTTATTTATGTAGTTATTTAGAAAAATTCTGCACTTCCTCTCCAGAGAATGTTACAAAGAAAGGCAAGTTGATTGATCCAATGGAAGGAATAGTGTAACAGAGTGGGTGTGAGACACTCCCAACAGTAGCAAAGTAGAATACATATCAAGTCTGATAGAGATGAAATGAAACAGTGGTGCATATTAGCATTTGTAAGGAGTATGCAAGACATGAGCTCCTATAATGAGTTGGGGATCTAAGGTCCACATTAAGCCCTAGGGGTCTGTATTGACCATGATAAGTGCAGGTATTAGGGAGGCAAGCAGTCAAAGCCTTTGCCACTTGGTGTTTGAGCTTGAAAAACGTCAGTTACATGTAAGCATTTTCCCTGTGTCCTAAGGCTGAGGTTGAAACACTGTAATAGTGAAGAAAGACAGTAAGATACAAAGCACTGAATTCATTTACAAGTGAAATATATGTACTTTGTTGTGTGTTCTCCATTTTAAGCTGTCATGGGAAATTGTGCTGTTCTTTTGCAAACTCAGCTGTTGATTTGATAGTTTTTAAAAAATGCTGTTTCTCAGCAGTGGATATAAACACAGCCCTGTTGTATTTGCTGCTGTTAAAAGTATCCTGCAATAAGGGAACTAATACACAAGAACCGTTTTACACATTCAGATAATTATGCATATTTTTTGATTTGTTGTGTTAGCACATCTTGTGTTCTTTGCTTGTAAGCCATCAAAACTTAGTCTATGTATTATCTTCAGAGTTCTGCAAGACGTATTTGCCTTTGTTGAGATCAAGATTGTTTAGCAATGTAATTCTGTGCTCTGCTTTACTTTAAGTTCAGTTTTAAATTAGCTTTTCCTGTTTCTCAAACCACTGATAGGGATGCCAGTAAAAGTAACCCAGTGTTGTGTGTTTGTGCTCATGTGAAGAACATGTGTCAAATTAAGAAAAAGATCTTTTTTCTTAATTTAAAAAATTGGTATGGCTTCAAGAGGTAGTAGCATTAAGGCAGAAGGAAGCTTATTACAGTGTTCTAACAAATGATGATGATGACTGTGTGGAAAAAATATTTATAATGCATACCATTTATAATGGAACCCAACAGGAACAGATTATACCATTCTCTTGGTCCGGTGACAAGAATGGCACGAAATGGCTATCGAGGCCACATGAAGGGCAACAGGTACAAACCCCTTTGCGTTCAGGGGCTGGACTTTTCCCCTCTGGTGTTGGTGATTGGCTTGATATTGAAGTGGGTGTCATCTGACACTTCTGTTCCTTCTGACTTCCTTGGCCAAATCCTGTTGGTGCGCTTTCTCTTACAATGGGCCTTCCCTTTCCTGTGACTCAAATCATATCTTTATAGATTGTGGCTGGCTTGTTCTAATCTGCAAATATTGTTTCTGAAAGTATTGCACCATTAAGTGAAGAACCTTAAATATGTTTGGTTGGGCTTTTTTGTTTTAAGTACGGTAGCACTACCCAACATTGAAAGTAATTTGGGGCTGCAACAGTGATGTTGGACTCAAAGCTCATTACATCCAGATTTTAAGGACTTGCCAATGACTGGCTTAAACCCATTAGGAACAGCATTTTATGCAAACAGTTTACATTCCTAATTAAACTTTAACCTCCATAGAATGGTTTCAGTTGTTCAAATAGGGGCCAGAACCCAACTTTTAACAGCTGTCAAAATTAAGCTGTGTATTTTGCTGAGGCTCCATGTATCGTATTTCTCAATTTATACTTGCCAACAGATGAAGAGTGAATGAAGAGTTTTTTCCAAGGCATTTCAGAAATTCTTATTTCCTTAGACTGTCTCTTGGGACCTGATGGCTGTGCCTACATGATTATATAAACTTATTGGCATATACCAACACACACATACACACACTGTTGTGTCAGTCAAATGTTTCCTTTTAAAATCTGGTCAGCTACTCACTTGTTAGAACACAAGCTTATCATAAAACAGCTTCAGTTAACTGCTCTGGATCAGGCTTTCTGCTTTCCTGCTGCTTTTGGTACTGCTTTCAAAGCATGCATTCTTGCCTTTTTTTCCTTTTGTGCAGTTTCAGGAACTCAGATGAATCTAACTAATCCAATCTTTCTACCAGAAAGTAGACAAATGGCAATATTGCATGTTCCAAAAGAAGATTTAATCTGAAACTATCAGCTGCTTAGAATTAATTCTGTTCATATTATGGCTGCTCAGAGCTTCAGGGTTTATTTTTTATGTATTAATTGCTTGCTGCTCTGAGGGGCTTTTTTAGAATGTTATTTCTACTTCTGAAATTAAATTCCGCAAAAGCTGCCGTTCTAATAGCCATGGTCACTTTCTGCAGTGAAATCCAATAAATCAAATGGCAACACTTTACCATTCGATGCCGGTGTTAATTGCAAGTTGGGGAACTCTTGTTGGGACATTTGTGTTCTTCACATTTCCACTCTTTTGCTGCTTACAGTTCTGCAGAGTCTGAAGACTTAGCTGTTCATTTGTATCCAGGAGCTGTTACTATTCAAGGCGTTCTCAGGAGGAAGACTTTATTGAAGGAAGGCAAAAAGCCTACAGTAAGGCAATAAACAAACGTTTAAAGTATATTTCTCATGCTTCTTAATTTATTTTGTTCTACAAAAGTATGCGTGATTTGTCTTATCGAATGGGTCAGCAGTGGCTATTCCAGTGACTTGGAGGAGAAGGAGGAGGAGAGGAGATTGGATTTATACCCCGCCCTTCACTTGGAGTCTCAGAGCGGCTTACAAACTCCTTTCCCTTCCCCTCCCCACAACAGACACCCTGTGAGGTGGGTGGGGCTGAGAGAACTCTGACACAAACTGCTCTTTTTCAAGGACAGCTGTGCCAGAGCTCGAACTCTGTGAGCCAGAAAGGGAAGCCTTACTTTGAAAGCCTCCTGGTGGGAAGGCAGGATAAAATCAGTGGTAGCTCATCTCATGACCAGTTTAGATGTTATCTGCAGTCCTCCATATAGCACTGCCCCAGAATCCTTTGTCAGTAGTTCTGTGCATGGGCCAGAACATGTTGCTGCCACTCATTGTATGGTTTGGCGTTCTGATATGCAGAATCTCCTTGCCCGTGCTACATATTCAGGGGAGCAGAGGATTAGAGGCACAGAGACCTTACATGGTATCAGGCTAATAGTATGAGAGGCAGTTGTGGCACTTCCCAGGTCCTGACAGAAGCTGCCACCATAAGTAAAGAGATTTTTTGTTAGCTTTCATCTGATGGCTGGAGTATCTGAAATTATTCCCTCATCTGTGGAAAACAAACCTAGTAATAGATGCAGCCATTTTAGCCCCTTCTAATAATGGATCAAAGACATAGTTCTTAGCATTTCAAACAGGAAATGCAGACTATTGAAGCAATCTGAGAAATGACCAAAAATAACTAAAAACGTATATGATCAGCTTTGTTCTAAACTTCGGCCCTGGCACCAGTGTGCCCCTCCATTAACTGTAGTGTTAATGCTAGTGATCAATTTGGAAAGAAGCCCTCTTTCCTGTGGTTTCTGTCTCCTAGGACTTTGCCATTACTATTTTCTTTTAATCTGCCTGCCCTTAAACCGGAAACCATTTAGGACCATTGTTGTATAGGGTGACTGCACTGATGGCTGCGCTGGTTTGCTGTGTAGAGAACCACTAATATGGCAGGGTTTGTGAATCCTGAGTCTATACCATTCATTTGCACTTGAGACAATTACAAGACCAATCTCTCTAGCAATCTAGGCCACTGTGGGAAGTAGCATATTTTACAGTTTAGGTGGTATTGGTTTTGAATAGCATCTTTCTGCTCAATTTCAGATAGGTATAAAAATGTAAGCTATCCCATGAGAACAACATGGCATGGGCCTCTAAGATTAATAAATCTGTGGACTCTGCTTCTACAGGTAGCATCTTGGACAAAATACTGGGCAGCGCTATGTGGAACTCAGCTTTTCTACTATGCAGCAAAGTCTTTGAAGGCAACAGAGCGAAAACATGTATGTATTGTACTTATGCATATCTCCTACTGGTATGCTTGGTCTTGGGGCAGATGGGGAGTTAAATTCAGATACATTTTATGGCCATTTTAGTTCACAAACTTTATTGGATCTATGGAGCTAGTTTTATTTACACTTTCTAGTAGTGGGCGGAAAAGCAGGCTTGGAATAACTTTTTCCAAGATTCTGCTCTCCCCCCCCCCCCCCCCCCCTTGACCCACAGCAGGATTTTTTGCACTTCTCCTTTGGGTGAGGGAATCTTGTGTGTTTAACAACCATAATCCTTTTTGTAGTTGTTTTCCTATTAACTGCTGTTACTGCTTGGCAACTAGCTGCTCTGCCCACTTTTCTCCCTCAGTTCTCTACTTTAGCTTCCCCCAACTTGGTTTTCTGCTGCCAAGACATCTCAGCAGCTGTCTTGAAAAGCAGTTCCAGTCTCTGTAAATCTTCCCTCCAAAACACTCAAATCCGAAAGGCTGTGGAAAGCAGGAGGAGCTCTACAGAGGCCTTATGAGAGCAGCTGGATCAGTCTTGGCAGGCAAAAATTGCACACCAAGCATGATATAGATTGCAGCTATTAAACTGGATAAAAGTAGCCTCGTGGTCTCTCTGCCCCAATGATTCTGTAGTTCCACATCCATTTCTTAATTGCTCTGGTCTCTAAAGCATGAGCATAAAGTCACAGTACTCTAAATATGTTCAAAAACTGACCTCTCTAAAGTGTGTTCTTACTTTACAACGGTTCATGTACAAACGCTTTCTGCTGTCTATCTGTACTCTTTCACAATCAAGGAGATTGTGTCAGTGTCTTATTAACATCTGCAGATTTGCAGTGCTTTATGTTGAGGATGTAGAGGTGACGTTATTTCGATCAAAATGCACATCAAGCACAGTCCAAGCTGTTCCATCTCCCTTTCAGTGCATGAGTTGGACCTGATTTCATTCTATGTTGCCACTAAGAAATACTATGACCCCAGCACCTCCAATAGTCAACTAAAAGGAATGAGTTTACATCTAAATTATCTTAAGCCAGGTTCACAAATGCATGAATGTTGTTTGAAAATAAGGCTGCCAGAGTCCTTGGAGATTCTCTGTCACAATAGGATGTACTGGGCTACTAATAATCATTTGGCTTGACATAATATAGAAATTTGGTCTGTGTTAACTCAGTTCTAATCAGTAGTACACCCTATAAGATTCTGATTTCTCATTTACTTCCAGCTTCCACTATTCTTTGTCCCAGATAGATCTCCTTAACTGCATTCTGTACTTGTTCTGGCACACACCTTTTCATATTGTCACTGAGAGCATACAGGAGCTGGCTGATTTGGTTCTTTCACCTGTGAGATATGTTCATCAGGTGGATGAAACTAAAATTAGATTAATTGTACTTCTAGAATAACTGACTATGTGTAACAAAATTTGAGTCCACTGGCACCTTTAAGACCAACAAAGTTTTATTCTGGGTATAAACTTTTGTGTGCATGTGCACGTCTTCATATACATTGAAGCAGAAGTCACCAGCCTTTACATAGGCAGCAATTGAGGAGAATGTTACCAAGAAGGGCCAATTAGAATCAAGATGCATAATTAACTGATCAGTAAATATAGCTAAGACTGGATGAAAGTGATCGGTAATATCTGTGAATAGCAGCAAATTAGCATGCAGCATAATAAAGGAGTTTACAAACAGATGCAAGAATTGAATGATGTTAGCATATGTAACACGATAAGAAACCAATGTCTCTGTTAAGCCCTGGGGGTTCCATTGTCCTGAGTGTTGTAACTGGTAACGCAGCAGCCTCCCATTCTCATCTAGTTCTGAAGTTCCTTTGCAATAAAACAGCTATTTTGAGGTCCCCCATTGAATGTCCTGAAGGTTTCTCAGTTTTGTGATTCTTGATGTCAGATTTGTGTCCATTTATCCTTTAGCATAGGGTTTGACCTGTTTGCCCTATGTAAAAAACTGAAGGGCATTGTTGGCATTTAATGGCATATACAATGTTAGAGGATGAGCAAGTGAATGGGCCTGAGATGATGATGTTGATGATGTTAGGTCCAGTGATTATGTTGGCTGGGTGTGTGTAGCATTATGTACGCTCCTTCTCAGGTTTTTGTTTCTAATCCATTCTGAATTAAAGAAGTAAAACTAAATTATTTTTATAAATAAATAATTATAGCGTATTGGCAAACAAATACAGTGTTACTTCAGCTGCATTTTTTTTTTTTTTTGCAATATTTAAAGTCGTGTTTCCTAAGCCCTTCTTTCTTTCTTTTGTTGTGTTTTGGTGTTCCCCCCCCCCCCCCCCAGTTCAAATCTACACCAGCTAAGAATGTGTCAGTAGTAGGGTGGATGGTTATGATGGCTGATGATCCAGAACATCCAGATCTCTTCCTGCTTACAGATTCTGAAAGAGGTTAGTAATGTTTTAAATCCAAATTCACTTGCTAGCTTCACAGTTGATTAAGAAGGGGTGAGGCAGTGGTTGGTGCTTAGGGCTGGGAGGTGCCGGTTTTGCCATTTGTGTTTAAATTTTTTTTTAATGAAAGCACCGTTGTGTATCAGTTGCGCACACTGTGATCAGCTTCATTATTAACGTCTGTTACGCTAATTTTATTGTGTCTTGTCTTGTTTGGATTCCATGAAATCATTTGAGGGAACAGTTTATTTATTTGTTTCATTGTATTTATACCCCGCCCTCCCCGCGAACGGGCTCAGTTGTTCTTGGTGCTTACTTATTTAAAAACTTTGATATCAAGGAAACAAAAAAAGGACTTTTGTAGAGGCTTACAGATAGTTAAAGCATACAATAAAAGTATTGCCAAAAATATTGCCAATATTCACTTCCCCTTGGTGCTGAAATTTAGCAAAGGGAAACTGGCTAATTACCAGTGGTATGAGTGCTAGAGATCTTCGTCGTGGTCTCTGTGCAGTCCCACACATGTGCACGACCTCGACCGGAGAAACTTCTAGAGCTTTGCCTCAGAAAGCTTTTGGCGGGCTCTCTTCCCGCCCTGGGAAGCAGGCACATACTGTGCATGCCTGGAGCGGGGGAGAGAGCCGCCTCCCATTCAGTTCCTTCGACCACTACCGGTAAGTCCCATCAAGCCAAAGAAAGGTGAATAGGAGATGCCAGCAGTGGGGAAGGCTGGGTGGGATTGTGGTACTGCACAGATGACGACTCGAAGATCATCAGTTACAGGTAAGCAACTTGTTTATCTTCGTCGTGGTCTCTGTGCAGTCCCACACATGGGTGATTACAAGAGCTGAACCAGTTGGAGGAGGGAGCTGGCAGCTGCAAGAGACACAAAGAATACTGGTTAAGATACAGCATCACCAGCAGGAAGAAACACCCACGGGTCCTACCTGGAGACGTAGGAGGGTCAAGCGAAGAGAGATCGCAGCATCGACTGACCGAACGCAACATCCCATCGAGCTCAGACGTCGAGTGCGTAGTGGGTCATGAAGGTCTATGCCAAGGACCACGTAGCAGCCGTTCAGGGTGGTGAGAACCAGAGAGGATTGTGTGGCACTCCAAAGGGATCTGTCGAGGATGGGCAAGTGGGTGTCAACGTGGCAAATTGGGTTCAGTGTGGCCAAGTGCACAGTGATGCACATTGGAGCCAAAAATCATAACTATAAATGCACATTGATGGGGTCCGAACTGGCAGAGACTGACCAAGAGATAGATCTTGGAGTTGTCGTAGATAACTCAATGAAAATGTTGAGACGGTGTGCGGCTGCAATAAAAAAGGGCAAAGCTATGCTGGGGTCTGAAGTGGCAGAGACTGACCAAGAAAGAGATCTTGGAGTCGTAGTAGATAACTCAATGAAAATGTCTAAATAGTGGGGATTATTAGGAAGGGAACTGAAAACAAATCAGCCAGTATCATAATGCCCCTGTATAAATCGATAGTGTGACCTCATTTGGAGTACTGTGTACAGTTCTGGTCACCACACCTCAAAAAGGATATTATAGCATTGGAAAAAGTGCAGAAAAGGGCAACTAGAATGATAAAAGGGTTGGAACACTTTCCCTATGAAGAAAGGTTAAAACGCTTGGGGCTCTTTAGTTTGGAGAAACAACTACTGAGTGGTGACATGATCGTGGTTTATGAGCATTGGATAGAGCAGGTTGAGAAAGAAGTACTTTTCTCCCTTTCTCACAATACAAGAACTCGTGGACACTCAATGAAATAGCTGAGCAGTTGGGTTAGAACAGATAAAAGGAAGTACTTCTTCACACAAAGAGTGATTAACACATGGAATTCACTGCCGCAGGAGCGGGTGGTGGCTACAAGCATGGGCAGCTTCAAGAGGGAATTAGATAAGCACAAGAAGGGGGACCCGTGATACTCGCAGGGATGGGGGGAGGAGAAGCTCCACCAAAGGAGAAGGAAGCAGCCGCAGGTGAGCCTTCTCCCCTGCCCCCTGTCCCCGGCACCCACAGCGAGGCCTGCGCCTCTCCAAGCCTTCTCCCTCCTCCCCCCCAGCACCAGCGGCGATCCGCCGGTCTCCTCCCACCCCCTCCAGCGGCTGATCTACTCCTCCTCTCTCCCCCCCACCTCGGCTCCGGCAGCGAGGCCTGAGAGGCTTCCAACCCCCGGCCTACCACAGAGTTCCCAGAGCATTCCCTGCGCATGCGCAGGAAACGCTCTTTTACTTTTGGGGGGATTTAAATATCCCCCCTATATTTTTTCAACTTTTTAGATTTTTGTGCACACCTGGGGACTGCCCCAAGTGTGCAGGAAAATCTCCCTGCCCCCCAGGTGCCCCCAATGTGCGGATTTAGATATCCGCACACAGGGGGCGCCTTCGCTATTAGATATATAGATATGGAGCAGTGGTCCATCAGTGGCTATTAGCCACAAGGTATAGATAGGAACTCTCAGGCTGGGGCAAGTGATGCTCTGTATTCTTGGTGCTTGGGAGGGGCAACAGTGGGAGGGATTCCAGTGTCCTGCCCCACTGCTGGACCTCCTGATGGCACCTGGTATTTTTGGCCACTGTGTGACAGAGTGTTGGACTAGATGGGCCATTGGCCTGATCCAACATTGGCTTCTCTTATGTTCTTATGTTCCCATCTTTGTAGTTAAACTTAGTCTATCAGTAGATCTCCCCTCAAGATAACTTTTTATAAAAGCCAGACAGAATACATCCATACTCTTCATGAAGACTAGTTTGTGAAAAAAATTCAATCTACTGAAAATAAAAATTTGGGGTCTGTGTTCGAATGCATCTTAATTATGATTTATTTGTATCACACTTAGCTTTCTGCCTATTGAGCATGTATTTGTTTACTTTGTTTATAGTCCAGTTTCTATGTGAGACTCAAGGCAGATTAAAAATTAAAAACAGTTCAATAAAAACAATATAATACACACAATAAACTTGGATTACAAAACGAATGCAATAAAAAGATATAATACAATAACAAATGCAGTGAAATTGCCTAAAATGCAGACATTTGAACTGTTTGAAATGTTTGTGTGCATTTTTTAAAAAATAAATTATTTTTTCTAATGCAACTGGTTCATATTAATTGTGGCTGTATTGATTTTATTGTATATTACAATGCAAGCTTAGCTGTTTTTGTTGGTTTCTCTTGATTCTGTTCATGATACAATACATAATTTTCAAACATTAGCTCATGAAATACTATGTACTTGTGAATTATTCAGTACAGGAAGTTCTCCCTCCTTTTTCATGTAGGAAACTCATACAAGTTTCAGGCTGGTAACAGGATGAATGCAATGCTGTGGTTCAAACATCTGAGCGCTGCCTGCCAAAGTAACAGGCAACAGGTGAGAGAGCACAAATGTTAAGCTATTTTGACAACTTGTTGTGAAAGGTTTCTGTGTGTATGTGTGTGTTAAGTGCTATCAGCTTAGGGCAACCCTATGAATTAATGACTTCCAAAATGTCCTATCGTGAACAGCCTTGCTCATGTCCCCTATGAATTAATGACTTCCAGAGTCAAACTGAAGGCCATGATTGAGTCAATCCGTTTTATTTTGGGTCTTCCTCTTTTCCTGCTGCGTTCAACTTTTCCTAGCATTATTGTCTTTTCCAGTGAATCCTGTCTTCTCATAATGTGACCAGAGTGCAAGAGCCTCAGTTTAGTCATTTTAGCTTCTTGGGAGAGTTCAGGCTTGATTTGATCTAGAACCTACTAATTCGCCTTTTTGCAATCCATGGTATCCGTAAGACTCTTCTCCAACACCATATTTCAAATGAATCAACTTTCTTCTGGTCAGCTTTCTTCATTGTCCAACTTTCACATCCATGCATAGTAATTGAGAATACTGTAGTATTAATTATCTTTATCTTGGTCACCAGTGACACATCCTTACACTGAATAATCTTTTCTCTAGCTCCTTCATAGTTGCCCTTCCCAGTCTCAATTGCCTTCAGTTTCCCTTTTGGTTGATGAAGGAGCCAAAGAATAAAAAATCTTGAACAATTTCTTCACTGTCAACCTTAAAGTTATGTAATTCCCCAGTAGTCAGCTGTAAATCCTGCTTTGGCACTTTCTGTTTTAACCTTCATAAGGAATCATTTCAAGTTGAGTATTAAGTATTCCTTACAAAAATCACAGTGGCTTTGCTAATTGTAACCATTGTTCCATGATTGCATCACCTAATAACTAGGGGTGTGCATTCGGCAATAGCCGAACTGAATAAATACCTGAAAAATACTCAAATAAACTGAACACAGATCAGAGAATAAGCTGAATACAAATCTGTATTTGGCTACCGGTATAGCTGAACCCGAAAAAGCTGATATTATCCAGCTTTTATTTGGGTTCATTCTGCTATACCAAATACAACCAGACATTTAAACCTAACAGCTGACAGGTGGAGCTGCCAGTCAGCTGTTGGGTTTAAATGCCTTGCTCCAAGACATTTCAGGGCTCCTTTCACACCCCAGGATGCCCCAGTAGCAGAAAGCCCAGCCATGTTTAAATGCCTTTCTTTTCGTCTCCCACAGCCAGCCAGTTGGGGAAGCCAAGGGTAGGCATGGAAACATGCCCAGGCTCCCTGCCTGCCCTTCTCCAGCTAGAGATGAGAAGGCAGAGAAAGGAGGCTTTACCTTGTCAGTTTCACTCCCCTGGGCTGTCTCCTGTTAGGTTTAAATGGCTGGCCGGGAGTAAAATTGACAAGAAAAGCCTCTCCTGGTGGCAGCTGTCTATACCCAGATAAACAGAATAAAAAGAACACTTTTAAAGGGAAACCAGTCCTCCCTAATAAGGAGGACGTCACAGAAGGCATTTTAACATGCCTCCCCGATTCCAATACTTTACCAGTATTAGACTGGGGAAATTCATCATTTAGCAATATTTATCGGGTCTGATTTACCCACACCCAAAAAATACCAACTTTTTTTTGTACACCCCTACTAATAACCCCTGGTAGCACTGGTTCCGATTTTTCTGAGAATTAATAAACAACTTAAAATAATGGACATTTAACAGCATATATTAAAATGAGTTTCTGGTCTCTGTTTACAAAGAGATATACATGTTTACCAAGAGATATACATGCAAGGAATCGAAAGGGCAGCAAGGGAATTATATATACAGTTTCAGCAGAAGAGCTATGAAAATAACTTGCTCTGATAGGTTACTGGAAGTGATCCCCCCCCCCCCAGCATTGGATTTTGTGGCCTTCAGCAAGAGTGTAAAAGAGACCTTGATGAGTCCCCTAATTGATACTGTTCGATAAATTAGTATACACTGGTATGGAATTTTTTATATTTTATCCATCAAACAAATTCCATATGACATCATTCAGACAACTGGGGCATGGTGTATGGCCTATAAACTTACCTTCCCTCCCCCATTCTTCATTGGTATTTATAGAGCCACCCTATAATAGAGCACTGAATCATAACCTTCTTCCAAATTGGTTCTGTGAAGCCCTTCTGGATTTGGCTGAACTTTACCCACATTTTTATTTCTTCTAAACATTATTTAGAACATTTGCCTACTATTCAAAATGTGGTATGGTAATACTTTTCCATGAACAACAAATCAGTATTTTTTCTGACTGAGCCACTCACCACTACTGTCCGTTCTCATACATCGCAAACCTCCAAAGGGCTGAAAGATAACCCAGAACCCAATCTTTAAAGGGCAGGTATAAATACCTGTGCAGAACTATAACCGTTCTAGTTTGCACCTTCTCTGGAAAAAATGTAATTATTTGGCATGACAACATCACATGGAACAGGTTAACTTCTTCCATAGTGTGAAATCTAAACATCATGCACTGGTTTTTCTTAAGTTCTCTGTAAATACAGAGGGAGGAGGATCTCATTACTAAAGCCACTATCAGTTTAAGTATGGTAAATTTAAAGGCAGCCCTTCCATAAGCTAAAACAGATCAAGTGGGTGATAAGGATTGGACTACACTGTGGAGCATGTTAAGCATTGTGTTGCCAACACTAGTGTTTATATGCAAACGTATTTTACTCTGCAATCCCCCTTGTTTATGTTAAGATGATTGAACAATCATTCAAGAATTTCCTATGGTGGACCTGGTGGAGAACCTGTAATTGCATTCCATTACTTGGAACGGGCAGGAAAGAATAGAGACTTTCACATTCCTAATTTTGAAGTTATAAATTGTTTATTTATTTAGATATTTATATCCTACCTTTCAAGGTGGCTTGTCGTTCACAATGAAAACAGCTCAAAACATGTTTTTGCCACTTGAAAAGGAGGGAGGAAAAATAGAAGCTGAAAATAGAAACAACGTTTGTATCAATAAAATAAAGCTTATTACGTGGACCTAAACTTTTGTTGTACTGTCACAATATTAAGAATAGTCAGCAGATTTGGATGAGTTAAACTCAATTCCAAAAATATTCACAGTATGGCACATTAATTGTGGACAGCATTAGTCATGTTGAAATAATAATCACCATTGAAAGTACAATGTATATGGCAGTGGTACAGAGAACTTATCAATATCAAATACTGTAGATTTTCTTTCATAAACATCTTCTGGCTACACAGTTCTAGCATTTTAAGTGAGTAAAACTTTGTCTTTATAAGCAGCTCACTCATTCCAAAAAAAGAAAATATTTTGCAGGCGTCTTTTTTTCCAGTGTTCCACCCAGGCCTTCTGATTACTTAAATTTATCACAGAGCAAACGGTACCCAAGCTCTACAGTGCAGTAGATCAGTAGAAGGAGCTTTGCCTACATAGCCATCTCCCAACCTGAACAGGATGGTGGAGGAGGGAGGTGTGGCTTCTGGCTTTTTATGTTGCTTGAGAGAGTTCTGTTTGTTTTTCTGGTAGTCTTAATAAATGGGGGAGGACAGAGGAAAATGGCCACTCTAGAGGGCAGTTTTCCTTCCGCACTTTAAGCAGTGTTAAGGCTTTCTGTGATGCTGTGTTTCTATAGGAAGGTTTTATGGGTGTGCTGCTCATGTAAGCAGAGAGCAGTGTTCTGCACGCCTTGATAAGCCCCCAAGTGTGCCAAAACCTCACCATATCTTAGAGGGTAGAGGCTGTTGCTGCTGTATAGATTGTCCCACAGCCACCAGTTTCATTATTAAAGGTAATGGTGGAAAATGCCAAATAATGGAATAGTACAGTCTTCACCATTTGGGTCAAGGGCATCAAACATGCAGCCTGTGGGCTGGATCTGGCCCACGTAGGGGGCCAACTTCCTTCTTCTGCTTCCTTTCCAGGGCTGCTGCTGCAGTCCCATCATAGCTTGCTTTTTTCCCAGTTCCCTCAGTGGCTTTTTGCTTCCTGTTTCCTTCTTGTTGCCTCCCTCCCTCCCTCCCTCTCTCTCTCACTCTCTCTCTCACACACACCCACAAGCTTCTGCTTTCTTCTCTGGGGGTGTTCCTCCTGTTTTGGGGAGGAAGACAGGGGGAGGAGAGAGAGAGAGAACAAAGTTGGAGTCCCATGGCAGGTTTAAGACCAACAATGTTTTATTCCAGGTATAAGCTTTTATGTTGAAGCACACTTCTTCGGCAGGAGGGAGGGTTGAGTGGATTCTTCTGACAAGTACAGTGTACTCTGAGGAAATTATTTTGGCTTATTCTGGGGGGGGGGGGATTGGATTTTTTTGTTCCTATCTGCATTTATTTTCTTTCAAAAATACCCTGATTAGGAATTAGAACACTTGGACTGGTCCTTGTATTTTGGAGAGTGGAGGGATTTCAGATGTCAAATGATAATAGCACACATTGGTAATGAGACAGGAAAACTAGCTCTCAATTCAGTCCAGGAGGATGTATTGTCTTGAGCTTCATTATCAGTTGAAATTCAGGAGTCCCTCTTTCGAATCTCCCTTTGAAATTCTTTTGTAAGAGCACTGCTACTCTTAGGTCAGCAACTGAATGTTCTTGTTTCTAATGTCAGGTTTATGTCCATTTATTCTTTGCATCCTCCCGGACTGAATCCTCCTGGATGGAATTGACACCTAGGTTTCCTCTCTCATTACTAGTGCTGGTATCTCCATGCCTACGACCCCTCTGCACATCACACCTAATCCAATCAAGCCTGCTATTGTCATTCACCTGCTATTGCCATTCAACGTCTGAAATCACCTTTATAAAGTTTATATCTCTGGTACCTCGTGTTACATTTGATGGCATGCATGGCCTGGCCCAACAAAGTGACACTTATGTCAGATCTGGCTGTCGTAACAAATGAGTTCAGCATCTTTGGTTTAAGTCGTTACTGAGCACATTGGGCAGCTGCTAGTTATTTACATAAAAGTGTGTCAAGCACAAACGCATGCTGGCGATATGATGCTCCCAAGGCAGTACACTGTAATTTGGATCTGTAGCAAAATGAGGCACCGTTGAGAAGAGTGCAACGATATTTTAGTAGCAGGGTCAGTCTTCACAGCAGGAGCCTAGGTATATTCAGCATTAGCAAAACAAAGAGTCAGTTTAAAGTGTACTTCTTGTGGTTACTTTTTCATATCTTGTCCTAATCAGAGGTTTAGGAGCTCCAGAGAAATAAGCACATGTGATCTATAAGTGGGGTGTGTGTGTGCTGTATCACTTTCACTGTCCGTTAAATGGCACAGCTAATTCAGACAAATGGGTATTTGTTTGCATTTTTCAACAGTGTAACTGTTCTAAAAAATCTAGCATTCTCTAAGTGACAGTAGGGACATCTAAACTGCCACTCAAGTATTGCATGTATCTTGTATTTTTCAGGTTCCTGCCAACTTGATGACATTTGAATGAAAAGCATCTTTAAAATCGGAACACGATGGCATTTTTTTGTAATAGGTTGAGAAGGGAAGTCCTGGAGAGGGCATGCCAGCTAAACTTCTGTGCCACAACAAAGCCAGTAAACGGAGTTTGAAAGCTTTTAAGTACTGAACAAACAAAACAAACAAAAAAGCACTAAGAGTTCAGGGATGGAGTTGCAACATGAACTGCTAACAGACCATGCTGCTGCTGAAGATTCTCTGAACTGACCTGTGGATACCACTGCCTTAAAGAATGAAAGGAAAACCAACACGAAACACCAAATAGTGTGTGTGAAACGTCTGGCGGTGCTGTGCTTCGGTTAGATAGGTTGTAGCTAGTTTGCATTTGTGTTAGTTTTCTGTTAATTTTGAATTAGTCGATTTTTTTTTTTTTTTGCTGTTTTTGTTGTGGTCCGGAGGAGTGACTACTGTATAAGGATTGTGTCGGGGCAGGGTGTGCAAGGATGTAGCTGAACAGTGTACAGACTATACCAGCATCCTTCTAAAAGAGCTCTTGCTGGGCTCAGTTCATTGGGAACACAGTTCAACTTGTTTAAGCTTAGTATTTGAAAACTGTAATATATGCAAGTTTCTTCTTTCACAAAGCACTGACTGTGCAGAAATTGGTACTGTGTAGGGGATTTTCTTAACCTGCAAGTGGCACAACAGACAAATCTTTAAACTCTGCTAACTTTCTTTGTTAGAGTTCTTGGTTGCAAATCTCCTGATAGAAATACTATGCAGGATTCTGGAGATCAAGTTTGGGGAAATGTCACTTGGTCAGAACTGACCCTCCCCCCCCCCCCATATTATTATTATTTTCATTATTATTTATTGGACTTATGGATCGCCTCATCCCTGCTTCTACAGGGCTCTGAGCAATGTACAGTAACAATAAAAACATCAAACATAGCATAAAACATCTGAATAACATTAATACCACAAATCTAAAAGACTCAGATGGTGAGTTCCAATATATTTTCAAACAGTCCACACTTCCTTTTTTGAAATATTTCCCCAACAAACGTCTCTTAAAACTCCTCTACAATCCTATTGAAAGCTCACTCTCTATAATTGCTCGTCTTCATCTCTGTTTTGCACAATGCAATAATCTCTGTATTTGTATTTTGAAATCAGGAGTTTAATTGACTTCTGTATCAGACAGAGAAGCCAGTTGTGGGTTGCATAAGCATTAGCTATTGGTTCAGAGCTCTTGAAGGTGTCTCCCAAGGTAAATGAGTAACTTGACAAGGGGGGAAAATGGGAGGTGAAAATGGGATGAATTAAGCTAATCAAACCCACTTGTAAATTTTGTCACTATTTTAGACCATTTGTGAAGAATGTCTCGCGCTCTAAAGATTGTTTGCGCATTTTACTTATATTGAGATACTTTAAGACCACTTACATTGTCTGGGTAGAGGTGGCAATATTTGTTTTAACCAAACTATCCAATGTAAACAAGTTAAATTAAAACAGACTCCAACCTACTTGAGAAGAAAAATATTATCATCTACAGGTGATAAAAAGAGGTCGTTCAGTAGGAACTAAGGTTATTCACAGTTTAGTAGTAGTTCTTTCAGTTAAAAATGTTTCTAAATAAACTATGTTCCCAGAATCCACATCTTATCCACACACACACACACACCGCCTTAGAATATAGTAGAAATGGGTCCCGGGCATAAAGGTTGGGGAGGGGGACTGGGAGCAAATTTATGAGTGCTGAACTGTTTGAAATCTTCCTTTTTTGTTCCTTTCAAATAGTTCCAGCTTGAAACACATTAGACATATGTCCTGTTCTATATTTGAGGGGAGTGAACGTTCAGTTCTGACCTTGCAGTGGTGCATTTTTTCAAAGAGAGATCTGCTTGTTTTGTGTCACTTTTTAGTTTACGCATTTCTCACAATAACCCATGTTGGGTGTTTTGTAGACACAACTTCATAGCCAGCAGTATTACTGTATAGAATTTGCACAACGTCTTGTTTTCCATTTTTAAAGTTACTGTGTGTTTCTTTTCAAAAGTTTTTTTCATACACTGTATAAATTTATGTACTTTTTTAGTATTGTGGAACGATAACCCTGTGGAAGTTGGGGTGTTTTTTTTCTTTTAAAAAGAGTGAAAATGCTAGTGTAGATGTATTGCAGGCTTACCAAATCTTTTCTTAATGCTTTTCACAGTGGAAACATGCAACTGGGATCCACAACTTCACATGATTCATGTTTGCTAAAGACACAGGGCCGTTTCACACTGCAGGTTTTCACATAGGGACTCTGTTAGGTCTTTCTAGATCTCATGCACCCTGTCCAGCCTCCACATGATCCATAGCATTCACAAGATCAGTTCATTGTCACCAAAATCTACTCTTAACAGAGGGGAAGAGATGGCATGGTTGTGAAGGCAGCACACTGAAGAGAGCCAGCTTGACTACTTTCTTTCCATCAGCCTTCTCTCTTTTGATCTTTAGAGTAAGTTTCAAAAAAATGGGGAAAATAGCATACAAATATAGTGAGCAGTCAAAAGAGAGCCAGCTTGACTACTTTCTTTCCACCAGCCTTCTCTCTTTTGATCTTTAGAGTGAGTTTCCCAAAAAAAATGGGGGAAATAGCATACAAATATAGTGAGCGGTCAGATTTACCTGTGTGGCTACTCTCTGCTGTTTTAACTGCTTTTTTCAAGTTTTATTTTTCACGTGAAGGGCGTTTAGGAACATGAAACTGATTATAAACTGGCTTGTAAGAATAATAGAAATATGACCGTTCCAGAAGTTTTAGCTAATTTTCATACATTCCGTATATTTTTATCTGTACGTGAAGGGCGTTTAGGAACATGAAACTGCTTAGAAACTGGCTTGTAAGAATAATAGAAATATTGACCGTTCCAGAGGTTTTAGCTAATTTTCATACATTCCGTACATTTTTATCTGACTTATGTTGAATTCATTCAGGTCACCTTAAAACATTGCATACACAATATCAAACATTCCAGGTGTGTGTGTGGGGGGGGGGTTGGTTGGGGGGGGGGGTTGGGGTTTTTTTGAGGTAGTTGATTTGTCATAAACTGACTTTTAAAGTCTTTATATTTAGATCAACGTTTTCCTGACTCCAGAAGGCCAAGATAAGAAAAACAGGCCTAGCTATGAAGATATCACTTATATTTCTATATTGGTAGAAAGCACTATTTAATGTCTACCATGAGTCTCAATATATATTGTTTGAAATCTCAGTAACTTGAAATTTTACAGCTCAGAGCTTTGAATTCCATTAGATTTATATATTTATTTTGAAATAGTTGAGTTGGGAAAAAAGCCTGCAATCCAAAAAGTCTTAAACCAGTCTGGTCTGAATAAAGCATATTAATTGCCACAAGTACCTTTCAGAATTAAGCTAGCTATGCAGATTTTAACATCATCAGGGATTCTTCCTACTTTACACTTACACTTGACAGTGATGAATTGAACATAGGCTAGCTTCCACCTTTTTGCTAGATCTTCACACTTGTTGCTCAGTGTATAAACGCAGTATTTCCCCCCTGTGTTTTATCATTTCACTAAACCACAATTCAGCAATCTTGGTGTCTTTTGTAAATCTGATATTTTTATTAAATTCACACCACTGGGGTACATATAAACCATGTGCCTGATTTCTGTGAGCACTTTAATATAAGTATATTTAAACAGTGCTTGAGCTCCAGTGACTCAGCATGTATTTTGAAAAGAATCTTCCCATGAGGAATATTTAACTCTAAAGGGCAGCATCTGTCCTGTTAAAAATTGTAAAAAGATAAACCTTGCTAAGAAAGTCAAAAAGAAATTTATCGACTATAGAATGCCTTCCTGTTTGTGCCCATGTTTCTAGCTGGGCTGCTTTTTCATCACACATATCTTTGTTGGAGAGCCAGCCCAACTTATCTCTGACAGGCACCTGAGCTTTCATAAGAAATCAGTATGCTGTTATTCCATCTTGAGATAGGCTAAACTGCTTGCTAACATTTGAGCTACTATCCTGCAATGCTAGTTTTTTCCCCTTTGGGGCTTGCAATTTAACAATAGAAGCTGGCTGAGAAAAGAAAGTAGTCTGATCATAACACAACCAAACTGCCAAAGGAGAGTGTTCCATGTGATAAAACTCCCACTAAGGACCAAGACCACACATGGAGCCAAGATTATGTATTTTTGTCTCATTGGTGAAATCAACACAAGTGTTTTCATATGTCAATGTACATGTTTTTATCTCCCACCACCCTTCCCCCAGTGGGGAGATTATGGGAGAATGGCCCTAAGCTGCCCATGTGAATGATTTTTTTAAACTATAAATCTCCTTATTTATAAGAACCTCCCAAAGTTGTAGTAACATGGTGCTTCAGTCTTTCTGCTCTGAGGTTTCTTGTCCTCCGGAATCTTTTAGGTAGAAACAAAACCTTCTAAACCAGCCCTGGTTGGGCTGCTGACTTGGTGTGGTATAGAAAGTGGACTTTGAAAGTTGATCATCTACAATTCTTTTCTCCCCCTCCCCGGGAGCATATGACCCTTTATGTTTCCCCATCAATTCCAGCTGTCTGACACCTCTTCCTCCTTCAAGGACCCTCATCTTCGGCTGGCAAAGATCTCCAGGCTTTTTTATTTTTTCCTCCAGCATTTCCACATGGTCTGCTTTCATTTTTCTTCCTCTAAGGAATTCTTTTCCTTGGTAGCAATAGCGATCTCTTCAGTCTTTTTCATCAGGTGAATAAGGAGAGTCTGCCATAACCCTGATTATGAAAAGCAAGGTGTATATGTTTGAAATGAGTTACGTTGTCATAATTAATTTAAATCCAGACTACATGCTGCTGCCTAGATCTTTGTAGACTAGAGATGAGCTTTAGTTGCAGTGGTCCCAATCAAAAACATGTGCTGTTGCAGCCACTACCTGGTATAAAGAGCAAAATGGAAGAATACTGCAGGGTTAAGTAAAACTCGTGGTCTACTTTCTAGTTTTCATTCAAGCACATTTTTGGCACTTTGTGTTCAGCCATAAGCAGTTGGCTTCACATTAAGCTCAGTCATGAATCATTTGGCTCTTCCAGTTGCATCTTCTTTTCACCTTCTCTCTTTTTTTTTATGTGTTTCTTTATTCCCTGACATTAGTAGTCTTGATTTTTTTAAAAAAAACTTCCCCCCCTACCCCAGTTTGGTATACTGCCTGTTATGAAAGTCTGGCATCACTAAAGCTAGTACTTAATGACTGAGTCCCCCCCCCAAAAAAAAGTCCATCTTTCAAATGCTTGTAATTTCTAAGTTGCTCTCCTTTTTCCCATAAAAAATGGCTTGTGTCTGGGCTTAAAAACTGCAGCAAACAGGAGATGCTTCTTTGAGAGGAATAATATTTCCTGCCCATCATAAGATAATTGGTATGACATTTCTGCATATGTGTGGCTTTTTTGTCAGTGCCTTAACTACCAGTTTAAAAGACCAAGGGGGCAGTCCACCTACCACCACTGCTATGCATTTCCTCACTCATGCCAGTTGGTTTTTTGCAGGAGCCCCATGCAAGGCCCGGTTTAATGAATGGAGCTTGTTCAGCCAGCAGTATTCCTCAACAGTCTGTGCTTCTGTTTTGTTTTAATATTTAATATTGCTCCAGCACTGGGTCCAATAAACCTGCCCTTAATTTGGGCAAGTTTCATTCCATTCCGCTAATCACCTCTTTAAAATTACCATTTAGAGTTGATTTTGGGACCATTTCAGACATTCATGTTGGCAGGTGCTGTATTCTAGGCACTTGTCCTTTGGCGGAGCTGGGTATTTGCCCTGGTCTGACTCCCATTGCCATTGCACATAGGCGTTTACCATTAGAATAAATGTCTGAAAGGGTGCTTTGATCATGTAAAACATAGCTACAAAGAGGATTGTTGGATTATTTTCTGACTGTGTTGGTATCTCAGTTTCTTTATAGGCTAGCAGGAAACACCCCCCCCCCCTTTTTTTAAAGTCTTCACCACATTAATGGACATACTGGAAGTTGGGAATGCCTCCATCAATTTAGCAAGCCTAAGATATCATATCTGATTTTGGTAGCTATATATAGAGCACATCTTTGATGTTCTAGTATTTTGATTGATGGTTATGGTGTTTGGGTTTTTTAGTTACTCAAGGGTACCTGTGAGAAAATGGAGGGGGTTCTCTTAAGATTGTGTATGCATAATGGAAACAAGTCTTTCACAATGTGTGGTGAGTACGATTGCCTTTCTTTGACGCAAGTGTTGAAGTTCTTGGATTTTGAGAGAGCTGCATTAAAAGTAGAAAGGCTGAAGACCACATCCATTAGACCATTTGTTGTATTTGTCCAGAAGGTATGGGGTAAAACAGGCTTCATATCGGAGTACATTTTTCAAAGTTAGCCTAATTGTAAGTCACAAAGG